TGTGTGAAAAAGTGATTGCCCCCTAAACCTAATAACTGGTTGGGCCACCCTTAGCAGCAACAACTGCAATCAAGCGTTTGCGATAACTGGCAATGAGTCTTTTACAGCGTTGTAGAGGAATTTTGGCCCACTCATCTTTGCAGAATTGTTGTAATTCAGCCACATTGGAGGGTTTTCGAGCATGAACCGCCTTTTTAAGGTCATGCCACAGCATCTCAATCGGATTCAGGTCGGGACTTTGACTAGGCCACTCCAAAGTCTTCATTTTGTTTTTCTTAAGCCATTCAGAGGTGGACTTGCTGGTGTGTTTTGGATCATTGTCCTGCTGCAGAACCCAAGTGCACTTCAGCTTGAGGTCACGAACAGATGGCCGGACATTCTCCTTCAGGATTTTTTGGTAGACAGCAGAATTCATGGTTCCATTTACCACAGCAAGTCTTCCAGGTCCTGAATCAGCAAAACAGCCCCAGACCATCACACTACCACCACCATATTTTACTGTTGGTATGATGTTCCTTTTCTGAAATGCCGTGCTACTTTTACGCCAGATGTAATGGGACATACACCTTCCAAAAAGTTCAACTTTTGTCTCGTCAGTCCACAGAGTATTTTCCCAAAAGTCTTGGGGATCATCAAGATGTTTTCTGGCAAAACTGAGACGAGCCTTTATGTTCTTTTTGCTCAGCAGTGGTTTTCGTCTTGGAACTCTGCCATGCAGGCCATTTTTGCCCGGTCTCTTTCTTATTGTGGAGTCATGAACACTGACCTTAATTGAGGCAAGTGAGGCCTGCAGTTCTTTGGATGTTGTTCTGGGGTCTTTTGTGACCTCTTGGATGAGTCGTCGCTGCGCTCTTGGGGTAATTTTGGTCGGCCGACCACTCCTGGGAAGGTTCACCACTGTTCCATGTTTTCGCCATTTGTGGATAATGGCTCTCACTGTGGTTCGCTGGAGTCCCAAAGCTTTAGAAATGGCTTTGTAACCTTTTCCAGACTGATAGATCTCAATTACTTTGTTTCTCATTTGTTCCTGAATTTCTTTGGATCGCAGCATGATGTCTAGCTTTTGAGGATCTTTTGGTCTACCTCACTTTGTCAGGCAGGTCCTATTTAAGTGATTTCTTGATTGAGAACAGGTGTGGCAGTAATCAGGCCTGGGTGTGGCTGGAGAAATTGAACTCAGCTTTCCAAAGATGTGATAAACCACAGTTAATTTGTTAAGTTTTAACAGGGGGGGGCAATCACTTTTTCACACAGGGCCATGTAGGTTTGGATTTTTTTCCCCCTTAATAATAAAAACCTTCATTTAAAAACTGCATTTTGTGTTTACTTGTGTTATCTTTGTCTAATATTTAAATTTGTTTGATGATCTGAAACATTTAAGTGTGACAAACATGCAAAAAAATAAGAAATCAGGAAGGGGGCAAACACTTTTTCACACAACTGTAGATAAGATCTTATCTATGACTCTCACACCAAAACTGTGTTATGTGTCTAACCTTCCTCTGTCGTCCAATGAGCTGGCCAGAAAAAAACAACATCGCTGTAAAAATGAGTGTGTTGTTTTGGCTAATTACAAAATTAGACATGCGTGTTCCTTATAAATGTAAAAGTCAACATACAGGCTTTTTTTTCAATCCTGGGGATTACGTAAATGATTGAATACAGATTAAATACGTGAATTCACGCCGAGTTAAAGATATCGGAGGTGTTTACTGGTTGGTTTTGCTTCCATTCACCACAGCTTAGAGAACCAGTGCCAGTACTGCGGCCCAGTATCTGCAGGAATCACTTGCAATGTAACGACGCAGACCCTCGATTAACGTTTCCTTTCCCAAACCCTAATCAAGTCATTTTTGTGCCTCGACGTCACCAGACGTCACTCAAGGCGCTGTCGCCCAGCCAATGGAAAAGACGTACGTGTTGTTCTTGAGGACATGAACCGACAGCATACTTTGTCACTTCATCTTTAGAGTACACAGTGCAGTACACCACAGTACACAAGTCCACGCGTCCACCACTCTCCAGTCGTCTCTCTCCTGGACTCTCTGGTCTTCTTGTGCCGTCAGAGTCCTGCAGCAAATCTAGCCGTATGGGTTTCATGGAGAGATAGACACATTCGGGGCCAAAATGACGCGTGTCTATGTGCATGTTAGAGTTATTCATGCTGTTTTCTCCATGTTTGACTATTTCACTAGGGGTGCAATTTGTAAGTTTCATCACAATATAATGTTTTATGAATTGAACAGCAGTACGATATTTCAACCCAATCTCACAACATTTTCTATTTTTATTATCGCTGCCATGCAAGGTAACCTTTGTCCTGCGATCTTGAGCCAAATTTCCATTTTCCAAAAGCATTTTTACACCTTTAGGGTAATTTTAGACCAACTTCACGTACTTCCCATACTAGCAAAGACTGTGTTACACCTGCTACAATACGTTGATTTTAAGACTTTACGTTTATGAAAAACACAAGTGATTCTTGCACAAAACAGTCACACCATTTGTGTGCATAATACGCAAATCACAGAAACTTCTTCAGGTGAGGCAATTATGGCCATTTGTGACATCCAGACTGTTATCAGCAGCCGCTATCTATTTTTCTAAGAGTCTCGCGTTTGGAAACTGGGTCAGCTGAGGGTTAGAGATTACAACCGAGAGGTTACAAATGTAAGGGTCACACAAATTTTCTTTTTTTTCTTTCTCCCTTTTGTTGCCAGAAATCTTTCCACTCTTAACTGCTGCATTGTTGCTCCCTCGAAACCTCAAGCCACAGTATGTTATCTGTGGATAGACTCTAATCAGCTTTTTCTTCATGAGAAGCTCGGACTGAATCAGAGCGGTCACCTGATTACTGCAAGGGACGTATCTGAGTGACATTTCAGAGTCGACTAGGTTAGTCATACCTGGGGCGGCCTAGTGTGTGTGTGTGTGTGTGTGTGTGTGTTGTAGCTGTGGAGACCGTATCGGGCGGGCGCTTACCTATCTTATCAAGCCAACTGCTCTAAAGGGACTATTGTGTATGCAAGGTGACAAACTCCCTTTACATTCCCTGTCAGACTATAGACCAGTGGCCATTTCTTTAAGGTGCGTGTGGTGCTCATTTAGAGACCCACATGTTGATGATGTATCGCAAAAAAAAAAAAAGGGTGAAAAATGCTGGATTTTTCTGGAGCAGCCGGTATCGCTATGTGCTCTTTAGCATCGTGACTCACTGAAGTCAAACAGTGACACTTACTTCTTTAGCACACATATGTGCCTGCGTGTTGCTGCAGTCTATATTCTTTAAGCCTCGGGCTCGCGGTTGCTGGGCTTGACGTGACAGAGAAGAATAGGCCGCGGCAAATACGTGACGACTCTGACAAAACAGCGGAGGCTGGGGTTGAGCAGGCAGACGCGAGGCCCGGCGACAGGGCGGGAGGCCAGGGATGGGCAGCTGCAGGAACCAAGATCAATAAAGTAGCTTGTTATCGTCCTGCAGATGGAAAGAGATGGAACCATGAGCATGTCACCGTAGAACAACATATTATCATGAGCATCAATCCTGACTTATTCTCTTGATGTTATTCAGCAGGTTCCCGTACTAAAGCTGCTCTTATGCGTACAGGCAGTGATGTGCTCCATGTTTATAGTTTGAGATGAATAGAAAAGGATCTGATTGGTCCGATCAGGCACATTAAAATAAAAAATCTGCTTCTGCCCTGTTTTTGCTTCGTTGATGTCTATGTGCGGAGGGTTCAGAAGCAGGTCAGTCGTTTTCGGAGGGGTCCGGGTCTCACTGTGTGTGTGTGTGTGTGTGTGTGTGTGTGTGTGTGTGTGTCTGTGCCGCCCTCGGGGCCAATGGTCCCTGCATGTGCAGAAGTCTGCTTTGAGGCTCTCAGTGTGATCCGGCCGTGTTTAGTCTACCAGTCCGACATGTCACACACCACAGTCATTTGGTCAGGAGCTGTTTCAACAAGACGCTGCTATTCCTGCAGCAGCGCCTCACCACGCGGGTGAGGGAAATGGAGTTGCGATTGATTGATTGACGAGTCATCGAGGTCCCCGTCAGCATGACGCTATGTGATCCAGGAACCAAATTCTTTTTAGACTTTCAGAAAAAAAATTTGCTGCAATATGTTTCTGGAAAATGACAAAACCTTGCGTTCAGCGAGATTAAAATAAATATAAAAAGATTTGAATACCGGAAATGACGAAACCTTGCATTCAGTGAGATTTTTTTAAATATAATAAAAAATTTAATTTTTGATTTGAATATTTTTAAAGACTTACTTCAGTACTACTTGGAAAGTACTCGGAAACAAATTACGCTTTTGAAAAGCGTAAGCCACAGACGTCGACGCCGAATGTATCGGCGAAGCAGCTTTCAGCGTCGTCCTCGCCAACAACAAACACTTCCTGCGTTATCGCTGACGTAAAAAGAAAAAACAAACGCGCCGTTTCTCCCCACATTTTTTGCCTTTTTAATAAGAAAAATGAAACATGAATCATTTAAATCACATTTACAACCAACAGAAAACAACAACGACGACAAAAAACAACAACAATATATTATATCAGCACACTTTCAAAGTTTGAAAAGCAACGCAGCTTAAATAAAAGACAATTCTCTTTGAAACTTAAAATATGCTCCACAAAAAGGACACCGTGTGACCTGAACCTTCTGTGTCCTCTGAATAGTCCTTCAATAGATCGTCGATACATTGACCTCCTATCAGATCAGTAGTCATTTGAAGAAAAAGGCACTTTTTTTCGGAACCGCGACGGTCATTTGACACTCGCTGACATTGTTACACTGATCCCATTGAGCCGACGCATTGACATTGTGAGGGGGGGGGCGCTCCTAAGTATTGTTGTAAACGCACACACTATCAGCCCACCTGGCCATCAGGAGCTCCATAGTGCAAAGTACTGTATGTAAATCCACCCATAGTGCATCTCTCTCCCCCCCCCCCCCCACCCCCCCCCCCCCTCGCCTCCCCCCCCCCCCCCCCCCCCCCCTCCTGCTTTTAGTAACTGACTTGAGCTCCCCCACGCGTAGCATCGGCTATCTCTGATTCAAAATGTGACAGTCTGTCGAGAAAGCATCTGGTTTTAATGCTCCTGTAACAAAAAACATAAACACAACATGTTTTTTTTTTTTTGAAATAGTTTTTACCACAGTTGCTTTGCCTCGTTCCTTCCGGCTGCAGAGGATGACTTTAGTTTCCTCCGAGCTCCAGCGAGGACAAAATGGCTTCTTTTTTCCCCTTTCTTCATATCAACCAAAAAAAACAAGTACAGATTTCATCAGCTACATTTACATTGACGAATGCCTGATGTGACGGAAATGATGGACGTGGTGTGAAATGTCGTAACGCACAAAATATAAAGGTCTCCCACTGCAGTAACACCTGCCTGAAGCAGTAACCTCTCGAAACTCGCCTGGCATCCCTCCGTCTCCCGATTAGAAAAAGAAAACCTCTCACATTTGGGTTGTAACTGGTCAACAGAGCGCTATACAAGATATATTAAAATGTATTCCCTTCATAAATAAATGCAAATATTCTTATTTTTTTTCCCCCTCCCCGCATTACCTCTATTTACAATTTGTACAAAGCCAATTTCACCAAGACAGAGTCTGACTCCTGTATTGACTCACACACACACACCAGTCGGACGTCTTCATTGAAACTTTTTCAGTCCTCCGTGTAACCAACCGGTCCGCAGGTTCTTCAGAGTTGGTAAAGCAAAAACTAAAAAAACTGTCCTTTGGTCCCTCAAACACGGCAGCCATTTTAGATGCGAGTCTCTGCCGAGGCCTCTGGACGTGAGCCAGAGAGGGAGAGAAAGAGGAAGATAAAGAGAGCTGGGGTGTCCATTTTAGAAAAGGCAGGAGAAGAAAAGAAGTCTCCATCTTGGCTCGCCTTTAGAGACAGGTGTGTGTGTGTGGGGTTAGGGGCGTGGGGGGGTGTCCATATTAGGAAGCGTTGAGCACCGAGCGGCTGTACAGAGTTTGGTAGTAAGCGCCTGAGTCCATGGTGGCCGGGCCCTGGCTGTCGTAGATCTGCTTTGCCCCCACGGGAGAGCCGCTGGCGTAGCTGTTGTAGGCCATCACCTGGTCCTGGTAGGACTTGAGGTCCATCTTCTGCTCGTTGGACATGAGGTTGGTGATGGAGAAGGGGTGGTTGAAGTTGTAGTGGGGGTCCAGGGACTTGAGGGCGTCGCTCTGTAGGTCCATGTGCTGCTGCATGGCGCTGGGCAGGAGGTGGGTGCCGCCCACTAAAGACTGGGAGTGGAGGAGCGGGCTGGAGGAGGTGGCGGCCGAGAGGGACAGGGAGGACGAGACGGAGGACGGAGGCAGGGAGACGGGTGGGCTGTGGAGGTGTGAGGAGGACAGCGGAGGGCAGTCCATCGGAACCAGAGAGTTTCGGGGATGAGGCTGGTCATCCGAGGAGCCTGGGTGGGAGTTGTCCGAGTGGGCGGAGTCGGCTCCCTCCGATCCTCCCGCGGGGCTGTGGTCCTCCACCAGGTGATCGCCACCGTGGCCCCCTTTCCCCGAGCCCCCCTCCTGGTTCTTGCCCGCCTTCTTCGCTAGCTTCTCCTCGATCTTGAAGCGCTTCTGGCGCCTCAGGTAGCAGCCGTTCTCGAACATGTTGCCGGACTGCGGGTGCAGGGTCCAGTAGGAGCCCTTGCCCGGCTTGTCCGGCGAGCGCGCCACCTTCACGAAGCAGTCGTTGAAGGAGAGCGAGTGGCGGATGGAGTTCTGCCAGCGCTGCTGGTTCTCACGGTAGTAGGGGAACAGCTCCATGATCCACTGGTAGATCTCGTTCAGGGTGAGCATCTTGCTGCCGCTCTGCTGGATCGCCATGGTGATGAGGGAGATGTAGGAGTACGGTGGCTTGGCGTGGGTCAGGGAGCGCCGGTAGGGCTTCGGGGGCATCTCCTTGGGTCCTGTGCGGCTCAGGGGCGCGGTGGAGGAGTACCCTAGCTGGCTCATGGACTGGCCCATGTTCTGGTAGTGGGTCAGGGAGCCCAGGGAACCTGGAGCGGCGGGGCCCAGCTGGGTCAGAGGGCCAGAGCCGAGGGACGAGGCCACCGGGGAGAGGGACATGTGGCCGGGCCCGGAGCCCATGGAGGCCAGGGGGGAGCTGCTGAGGCTGGAGCTTGGGTACGCCATGTTCATGCCTGCAGGGGAGGCGGTGGCCGGGTTCAAGTTGATGTAGCTGTTGATGCCCATGGAGCCCATGGAGCCTAGACCTGAGTTCATGGTGCTGGCAGAGGAATACATCTGGAGGAAAAAAGGAACATCTGGTTATTCACAAAAAAAAAAACACAGTTGGCTATCATGCAGCAACAATAAATATATATCATTTTTAACATTTAGAAAACAAATATAATAAACTCTTATCTATTAAACTGGTATTGATTGAAAAGAGCGGCTAAAGTGAATGTCTAAACGGGAGGGTAAAGCGGGTTGACTCTAAAAGGGACTCCTTATCAATGCACAATGAAGCTCTCAGTGCGCGAGAGGACATGGATTTCACATGGCGATGTTAACCTGAAAAATGCGTAAAAAGCGCGTCATGGTGCCTCTCGCTTCAGACCAGACGGCCTCCTCCTCTGCTTCCACAAAAAAATACACAAGACAACTAAATCTTCACTTTTTAAGCTCAACTTTTTTGAATTTGATTATTTTCTTTTGTACGGTTTTTTTTTTGTTAAAGAGGAATAATTCCGTTTAGTATTTTGTTTTTTTGGTGAAATTTATAAAAAGCCTTTTGACGAGAGGTTAAAAGTATTTGATGAAATTCTTCGGAGGCCATAAAGGGATCGCGGCCCGCTTACTGATCTCTGGTTAAATATTATCAGACTCTTTAATTTCATCAGGTCGAGGTGAGAACTGAAGCTGCTGATGGAATTAACCCTAATTGAATTAGTGAGGGGGAGAAGAGAAAAAAGGTCTCGTAACATTTACACCTGAATCGTCGCAACACTTCAGCGGCTGCGGGGGCACAAAGGAAGAAAGTCTATTGATGAGCAAATTACTTTTTAAAAACTGTCATCGAGTAAACAACTAAGAACCGGAATATGTATAATGATATATATATATTAAGTATCAATAAATAAATTAAATACATTTATTATTGCTGTTTTTTTTAAACATTTTTCAACAATGTTATAATAATGTTACTATTGGGATTATTTCGCAAGGAGAACAATATATTTTTGATACTTGTTGGTATTATTTAAGGTATATTTCTCATGATGGTTCTTGTTACATCACTGTAAAACTATAAAGTGCGCCTTCAATTATACTTTTATTATACTCAACGTTATTTTACTTATTATGGTATTCCTACAATATTTCCCATGGGAGTTTAAGAAGTGAATGTAAAATCTGTATCTTATTCTTTTATAGTGTATCATCAAATCAGGATTACAGATGGTTTGTTTCGGACGGATTACTGCGCTAATAATATTTTGTCTTCTCTATTTCACTGCCAAGAAAGCCCTTTACATTAGACCACTCCTAACAACACCAGTAAATAAAAAGCAGTTGGTTTATTGTATTTAATGTTTTATTATTATTGCTGCTATTTCTATTAGTGAGCGTGTCTTTACCTCGCTGGCATCGCTGTAGAAAGTATTCCACTCTGGTAGATCATGTGCTTCCATCTTCACGGAGCTCAACATCCCCAACACAAGTCTTTGGAGGAGAAAGACTGATCTATGACCGGATTGTTTGAAAAAAGATCAAAAATAAATATACAATCCGTCGCAAAGTTGTTAGTTGTTGAAAAAAAAAAAGAGGAAAAAGCAGAAAGTTGTCTCCCCTTTGCCAAGAAAGAGGGAGAAAATATGTGACGTTCTGCTCCTGGGAATAGTAAAGTCAATATTTCTTATTTGTCAGTCGTCCATTGTTTCATAACCTTATTCTTGTTATGGCTCAGCAGATGTTGACTTCTTCTGGCCCGTTTTTTTTTTTTTCTCTATGTCCTCCGGGGCCCTCGGAACGCAGCGTGTGTCAGGCGGAGGTGCAGCGCGCAAATACAGTAGACTAGAGGAACCTGGAAGTCCTCCTCTTATAAGGTGCCAGCGGGTCCCGCCCCGCTCCTGACATTTGAATACCAGGAAGGGCCCCGGCAAAAAGGCCGATGTGGCCCCCTGGCGTGCTGTATATTGGCCGGCGGCTGTAACGGGGGCCACCCGGACGAACGAATGTCCAGTAATCCTTCAGTGTCTGAGTGGATTTATATACATATTTAATATATACGTTGAGCGGTGACGTGAGGTCTTAATAGTGGTAATATGCTCGTAAGTGATGTATCAAACAGGTTTGAATAAATGCGTCTGTTCTAAAAATAGATGGGAAAAAGCCCCCAAAAATGCAATCATGTCGATTCCTTTGAAGTGAAGACAAATTCAAAATATGCAGTGTTTAGGGATAAAATATGCAGTGTTTAGGGATACAATAAAAATAATTATTATTATACCACTTGATCAATATATTTAATTCGATTTTGCACAAAAAAACACAATATGTGGTCAATATGTCGAAATACGTTTATTAGAGTTGGAACTCTAATAAAGTTCTGTCTCTCTCTGTGTGTGTGTGTGTGTGTGTGTGTGTGTGTGTGTGTGTGTGTGTGTGTGTGTGGCCAGGGGTGTTACAACTCGTTAATTCTTTCGACTATCACGTCTCTGGAGATATGAACCTAGCTTTGAGTTATTTGGTTAAATAAATAAATGAAATTAATTTTTGGTCGTCAAATATAGTCATGAAAAAAAATCACGAAAGAATTTGACTAAATATTGGAATATCAATAGAAGAGATCAGACCATCAGAGATCCTATCAGAGATCCTATCAGGAGCCCCCCCCCCCCCACACACACAAATAAAACCCACCCCACAGATAAACCTTCCCACGCTGATTCAAACATTTAACTGCAACACAAGGTGGAGTAAACTCCATCAAAACGTAAAGGCACCAACAGACATTTTTTTTTTACTTTTAACGCTCGCGTGCGCAATCCGTGCATGTAAACGTGGCTCCTCGGTAAAATGTTGAGAGATGCTTTATTTTTTTCCATTTATTCTTCCAAAAGAGCCATTCGCGACCCGCCGCCACGGAGCAACACAATACATACTGTAATCCGGGTGTAAGGCCGGACTCCTGTGTTCGGAGGGGAATACACATCGGCCTCGGTGCAGACGGTGGCCCGTGAATGTCAATGCCTCTGCCTAATGGCCAGTCAATGGAGATGTAATTGATGCGCAGGCGGGAGGTCCTCGGGATTAAGAAGAAAAGATCCCGAGGAAATAATGAATGACAGGAAGGCGCGTGAGCGCGCACGAATACAGCAAAAATAAGAGTTATATCGCCATATATCTGTAAAGTGTTATGATATGATGGAGCTCTGACCCTTGCACTGATGATTATATCCCTTTAATAATCAAGCACAGTGACGGATCGTTCTTCATATTTACCACCAACGTGTTCGAGTCGTCATGTTTCAGCTCCTATAAATATACATGTCGTCAGTCAGACTCTCTGCGCGGCCATCACCTGTAAAGACTCGGCGATTATCGCCTGTTTGCAAAGCGCTGTCAGGTCGATTAACCCGTGGAGCGAGCGTAACACCTCGGCGTCTGTAATGATGTAATTAAGCCTGACAGATGTGGGCCTCTCCCATCTGGACGGTGATACCTGCAGCAGTTGTAGATAAAGAAGAAGGATTAAAACTGTGCCCTCCAGCTTGTGATCATAATAATAAAAGGGAACAATACAATACAATTGTACAATACAACAAATGTTGAGATCAAATGTATGTATTTTCATGAGAATAAATAATATAATTCACTACAATTGGACGTCAGTTTAGGCTGTAGATTTGGGTGGTGATCCACATCTTGGATATTAGCAATTTTACTTATTTTATCTATAATTTTGTTGCCTTCAGGTGCCATTGGGAAATAAATCTGAAATATTCAATTTCCAACTCGGCATCACATTCATTTTGCTCTGGAAAAACAAACAGCTGGATTCTAACGGTTTGAGTGGATTTCCAGCAGCTCCGCTGGACGCCATCTGCACTGATTTCCACTGAATCTATAGAGAGTAGCTTATTTCTTCAGGTGGACGCTCTTGGAACCTCATTCATTTATTTCAACCCTGGTTGGGCTTAATGCTCCTTCAAGGCCCCCAACACACATTTCGCCATCCCATCTCCTCTCCTTGCGGGCCGATTCTCATCCCAATGGGCCCTCCATCGGCCATTAACACCTCTATAATTGGTTTAACAATAGCCGACACTAATGGAGGAAACGGCACATCGGCCTACGTGGAGCACTGCGGCAGGACGGTGAGGGGAGGGGGGGGGGGGGGGTAATCAAACGCCCCCTCGTCCCTGATGACAGTTCATCACTTTTTCTTACATCCGTTTCTCAGGCGGACTGAGGTCAAACACCTAACAGCGCCATCTCGTGGCCACTAGAGGAGAGTTCCTGTTAAACTGAGTCCAAAACTACAAAGCAAACTCAATTAAATGAGAGTCCCTTCACATATGAGTGCTTAAACATAAAGATTCTGAACAACTTTTTATTCCACAGTACAATGTTAAATACCCAAACAAGATAAAGTCAAATCTAACTGTTAGAATCATGGAACCAGATAAGGTGGCAGATATGACATGTTGTTGCATCTTTATTATTATCATAAATCCCACACACTTGGGAGGTACATGCTCCTTATTTAGTCAGGTGTGTGTGTGCCTTTTCCAAATCATGTCCAATCAGCTGAATTGACCGCAGGTGTGTTACAATCAAGATGTCGAAACGTCTCAAAGACGATCGAAGGGTCTGAGCGCTCGCGTCAATGTTTTTGCTTTGTCATTTCTGAATGTTTGTATGTATCAGCAGTGTGCACTCATCCAGGCAAAGATACTCAGGTGCAAGACAAACCAAGGAGGGCTGCACACTGTTTTACTTTGTAAAGGAAATGTTTTCGCTCTGTAAAGATCTTCTTGTGTGAACGAGAAAAAAAATTAATTCTTGTAGCGGCAGGAATCAGCTGAAATCATTATCACCTGCTGGTCAGCCAACAGGAGAAAATGAAACGCCACAAGATGGCGATCACAGTAGAAAGTAGAAACAGCAGGAAACTAAATACACAGGACACAATGTTAAATATGTCAGAGACTGAAAATTACAAACACGTGGAGGTCATTTGATGTCTTTTACATTTAGAGACCAAGAAGACTTCTATACAAAAGTTAACAGGGAGGCAATCACACAACTCCCATCTAATCAGGTATCTGTACTCATAGGATGATGGTGTGTGTGGGAGAGAATACACACCATATCATTGAGGGGGCGCATCTATATCACACCCCAACAGCTATTTGATTACTACCGTTCTTATCAAATGAGCATGTGTTTTTCAGGTTGTGTTGTATTTAATGTTTGTTCCCCCCCCCCTGGATATCCTGGTGGTTCTATTTTCTGGAGCGCTGTGATCAACATCATTTCTTTTCCTTCCTGTTTGCCGACCAACAGGTGATTATGATTTGATTGCTGCCTCTAAAAGAAATGCCTGTTTTTCTCTTTCACAAGACTGAAACGCTGCTTTACTGGGAGAAAAAGATAGAAATAAAGTATTCATTTAGAGCCCAACAGTGTGGGGAATTATTGTGTACCATGTAGTGCATGAAGCATGAAGAAAATTACATTTATTTTGACTAAAAAATCAGTGGCAAAACATGTAATTTCCTGTGTTTTAACTGAAATGTCCTGAATCAATCTGTGCTTTGGTCCTGTGGGAACAGCTGCTGTCTACGGAGCCATGATGCCGACCAATGTGTGGTTAGACCAGCTAGAAATACAACATGACACAATATCGATCATCATGTTGGAAGAGTACACTTAGCTGGATGAGAAACAAGATGTTACTCTGGATTCATTAAGCAATATTCAGAAGACAGGGGAGTGTCTAAAAAAATCATTGCATAATCATCATTATACATGAAATCAGAAAGTAACCAGACTTGTTTTCCACAAACAAAGGCATTTAACATGATTTAATCTCAGTGGTTAAACTCAAGAAGCAGAAAAAAACCCTCCAAATAAACAAGCAGACGCTTACATCCCATTTAGTTCTGGTTTCTATTTTGTACATGATGCTGCAATAACCCTAAAAAGGTGACGCATGGATGAAAAGAAGAGGCGATGCGAGGAGGGGCCTCGTATCGACACGATGAGCCGGCTGTACAAAGACTCGGGATGAAAGCAGAAGCCATCTGCTGGCGACTGAGGGGAAACTGTTTCAGGTGAATCATTGAATGGACAATAAAAAGTACAAAAAAAAAAAAAAAGAAGCCATGCGCTCCTGATTCCCCTGAGGTTCCCAGACACACAGACGGTAAACGTTTTAAAAAGGCACTTAACGAGGGAATTGCATGATGTGTCAGTGCATATTAAACTGAAAGTCCACTTCTTCAAAGACATTTCTCTACAACAGACCTGATCTGTGGGATATTATCTCAATATATAAGGGACATGTACGTACATATATACATATGTACGTACACATATACATATGTACGTACATATATACGTACACATATAC